TTTGGAGCAGGGCCACCCTCCATCCGTAAAGTTCTGCGCTTCAGCATCGGAGGAGGGCCCCTTTTTCCGAAGGTACCGCCCTCCGTCACTGCATATGTTGCATCTTTTACCGGGTGGATGCCGCGGAGCTGCAGGAGCAGGAGCAGGGGCACGATGCGATGGATGATAATGATGCTCATGATGATGCTGCTGCTGATGATGATGCTTATGATGCTGATGATGCTGCTGATGATGATGCTGATGACGATGATGATGATGCTGAAGCTGATACTGTGGATGCTGATATCGATGCTGATTGTGGCTGTGATGATGCGGATGCTGATTGCGATGATGCTGATGATTATGACGATGATGATGCTGCTGATGGTGATGCTGATGCTGATGATGATGCTGATGATGCCGATCTTTATTTCGGTGATGACGGTGATGATAATGGTGATGGTGATGGTGATGATGGTGGTTCGGATGATGATGATGATGATGATGATGATGATGATGATGATGATGATGATGATGATGATGATGACGATAATGACGATAATGATGCTGATGATGATGTTGATGCTGATGATACTGATGCTGATGACGATGATGATGCTGCTGCCGATGCTGATGGCGATGATGATGCTGATGATGATGCTGACGATGCCGATGATGATGCTGATGGTGATGGTGATGATGATGATGATGATGATGATGATGATGATGATGATGATGATGATGATGATGATGATGATGATGATGCTGATGCCGATGTTGATGCCTATGCTGATGATGCTGATGATGATGACGGTGATGGTGTTGATGGTCTCGATGGTGGTGATGTCGGTGATGAAGTTGAGGAGGAGGATGAGGGATGAGGAGAACGAGGAGGAGGAGGAGGAGGAGGAGGCGGAGATTGAGGAAGAGGATGAGGCGGAAGAGAAGGAGGAGGGGGGAGAGGAGGAGGAGCAGGAAGAGGAGGAGGAGGAGGAAGTGGCGGAGGAGGAGGAAGAGGATGCGGAGGGAGAGGAGGAGGAGGAGGAGGAGGAGGTGTGGTGGTGACCGAAGTAGACCAACGATGCAACAGCGATGCTGCATCCTCCTTACCTAATCCAGTCCTCAGACGTCCTTGCACTCTTCTTCTTCACTACAAGAAGCGCCCCCCCCTTCCATTGAAAGACCAGCACAGTTGGGCCTGCCAGTTTGACGTGGCAATTTGGGCGTGTGGGGGGCGGGAGGGCGTTTGTTGGCGAAGGCCCCCCCCACCCGTGTAACTGCTGCACGAGTCACACTTCGTGTCTTGAGCTTCGAGGGCGTCTCAAGGGATCGATTTTGAAAAAGAGCCGCCTGGATCCTTGCAGCGCTACGTGACGGAAGTTTGAGTTCTTTGAAATTGACGCATGCTTCAGCGAGCACCCCATATTGAAAAAGAACAGTCTCCGTCCTTGTGTGCGCGGCGCTGAGGCGAGCGCCCCATGATGAGCGCCACATGTTGAGAACCATCTGCGCATATGCGAGGCATTCAGGCAATTGTGCACTTTTGAAAACGACACCCGTTCCATCGCGGAGCCTGTTGCACACTCGAAAGGAGGATGTACGCGGCGCTAAGGCGAGAGCAGCCTCCTCCGCGGCGCGGCTTTGGCCCGCCCGTGCACCTATCCAGGCACCGAACGTCGGGAACAGCATCGGGGCAGAGGGGTTTGCCGTTTTTGCCCTCGGGAAGACCCAGGTCGTAACAGAAGCGTCTCTGGGGGAAGCCGTCGGGGCTTACGGGGACCCCGTGTTTGACACATGAAGGCATCGGATGTCTGGGTTCCGCCCCCCCCCGCGGCGCCTCTCCTCCTCCCCCTTATTCTTCTTCTTCTTCTTCTCCTTCTCCTCCTCCTCCTTCTCCTCGTCCACCTCCTCCTCCTCACTTCCTTCTCCTCCTCCTTCTCCTCCTCCTCCTCTTCCTCCTCCTCCTCCTCCTTCTTCCTGCCCACTCCGAGGCTGCAAGGGTCCCTGGTGATGCCCGGCTCCTTCAACCCGATGCACGAGGGGCACGCTGAGGCGCGGCAGGGGAAGGAGGAGGAGGAGGTTCAAGAGGTCAAAGAAGATGATGATGCTGCTGATGGTGATGATGATGATGATGATGATGTTGATGATGCTGATGATGATGCTGCTGATGATGATTGATGATGGTGATGATGATGCTGGTGATGATAAGGATGATGCTGCTGATGATGGAAATTATGCTGATGCTGATCATGAGGATGATGTGGATACTGATGCTGATGTTGATGCTGATGCTGATGCTGATGATGATGCTGATGATGATGATGCTGATTACGATGATGATGCTGATGATGATGATGATGATGCTGCTGCTGATGATAATGAGAATGAAGATGATAATGCTGACGAGGATGATGCTGATAAAGAGAATAACGATGCTGATAATGCTAATGTTGCTGCTGCTGCTGCCGCTGTTAATGATAAAGATAATGACGCTGTTGAGGAGGATGAGGATGAGGATGCCACTACAGGAGGCAAGGTTGCTGCGAGCATTTGTGCCCCTCTCTCCCCATCGTGTTGCCTCACCGCCTCAAGGGTTCCAGAGTGCAGTGCCGTTGTTCTACGCAGCCTTGGGGGATTTGCGCACTGGGTGAAAACAGGTGGTCTTGGATCCAGCTGGACAAGGCCATTTTTGGCTGGCATCTGTTTCGTCTTATACTTGGCGTGGACATGTGGGGGGCCACGGTCTGGCTGCACCTGCCCCCGAGCCTCGAAGGCCATGTCTCTGGATGGAATCTCTCTTCTCTCCGTCCGTTGTCGCACCAACCCTGCATTTCCTCGTTCCTGCTCTCTGGGTCGCCAGAGGCAGGTCATGTGAGGCTCAGGCTCTCATGCGCACACATGATCGACCTCGAGAGCAAGCTACCTATGGAGCAAAAAAAACGACACTGGTTTTGGGGCGTAGTGAGTGCCACCATCCCTAAATCCCCCACGACACTTTGCTTGTGATTGCGTCTTGCGTGTCGGAGTCTCTGCCGTGCCCAGGCTTGTGCAGTTACGACAGTGAATGGTGTGATTGCGTTCCGACTGCGGTTCGCTCTCTTCATCGTGTTGCCGTTAACAATTGATATCCTAAGCTAAGCGGTTGCCTGCTGGGAAAGGCAAAGCGTGCTGTGCCAACAATGTAGTTTTCCTGCTGGACTGCCCCACCCCTTTTCCTCCCCACCAGATCTGCATGGGCTTCGAACTTTCCGCCCTTAGGTTCCGACCGACCGACCGAGGAGGAGGAGGAGGAGGAGGAGGAGGAGGAGGAGGAGGAGGAGGAGGGGGAGGAGGAGGAGGAGGAGGAGGAGGAGGAGGAGGAGGAGGAGGAGAGCAGGAGGAGGAGGAGGAGGAGGAGGAGGAGGAGGAGGAGCAGCAGGCGAGGAGGAGGAGGAGGAGGAGGAGGAGGAGGAGGAGGAACCCGAGTGTCCCAGGCTCGGTATGCACTTGGCGTCTTGGGTTCGATCAGCATGGTAGGCGGTGGCAGAGGAGCGTGTAGGTGTACTCCTACTATCAATTCAACTTTGCATAGACGAATAGTCTGGCCAAGCTTGATTCCCGACCAGGCAGGCTGGGTCCCGAGCGGCCCAGGTGAACCCCACACGGCCCCAGATGGCACCGTGGCGGAACACTTTTTGATAGTGTGAGTTTAAATTCCATCCCAGATCCCGACCTCCCGAGAATTCCCCGGATGCCCCTCGCAGGGCCTCGAAGGTTCACGAGAGCCAGAAAGGGTTCCCAGACATTTCGGAACTTGCCGAGAACGTTCAAGACTCTACTTCCTCGATCCTCCCTGAGGGTCGAAAGCGAGACTTTCTGGCACCCCATGATCAGATGACTAGTCCCAGTCCTGGCAGCGCCAGCTCTTGCTCGGGTGACTGGTCGCTGGCCCGAGATGCTTGCTAGGTCGCTCGGCCCCGTTCGGCCTCGTCATCTGGCGGGAGCGATCGGTGATTCTCGCGTTGAGGCTGGCGGCACGGACAAGTGAGACTACCATCATCAGGACCACCATCGCCATCATTGCCGCCGTCAGGGCCGCCATCATTGACACTGCTGGTATTACGTCGTACTGGAGCATCAGGGCCAGCCTAGGCGAGGTAGTTGAATTATCTACCCATCGGAAGGTCGTCTTTACTCTTTGCCGCCACCAAGCCTCGCTCAATTCACTCCACACTGTAAAATATACCAGAATTGACAGCACGCGTGCACGACACGGGCGGGAAAGTAGGAGCACAAAGCGCTGTGGCGTGGCACAGCGTGGCACGTGACACCGTAGCGTGGAGTCGCAGCACGGAGCCATGTTGTGGAGCCCCCACGCGGGGGGCACGACGCCATTCGTGCGAAAGTTGCACGTGTCAGGTCGCGCGCGGGCGCCCTCTTGGCACTCGGCGTGCCGCACAGGCGGCCCGCGTATTTGTGCCATCGCGTGAGGTCGCTACGTCATCGTGTGTAAGACTCCTTGCGTCTCGTCGCTCGACTGGCTGCACGTTGTGCGACTCCACGCTTCCCCGCGGTACGTTGTTTTCCCAGGCCTCCAGGTGCCCTTGGATGCAGCAGGAGGCCCTTGGGAGACTTCGGGGACTCGGGGAGCAACGACGCTATGGCGATTTGGCAATGAGCAGGTTGACCCGCATCCCCTTGTTGGTGCTCCAGCCCTTGTTCCTCCTTCGCCCGCTGCCGCTGCTTCCGCCTTTGTGGCACAAGCGGGCGCATGGACACAGCAGCTTTCGCCCCGTTGGCTATCTTGGCGCACAGCGACGTATAACGACATCCGGCGAAGTGAAGTTTTGCAGGACTGTGGCGCCCCCCCTCTCCACTCGCGTATGACTGCGCAGGACTGCCCTGAAAATGGCGCAGGCATGCTGCCCGTGAGTCTGAGGTCGTGCCCCTCGGGTCCGCGGCAGCCCGTTGGACCGCGCCCCTCCAGCGCCAGGGGGCTGGGGCGGAGGACGAGCTTGGTCATGAACAAGCTTGCAAGCGTCATGCCTTCCAACAGGTCAAAGGTCCTCTTGCTCGCGCACGTGAGCCATGAGGAGGAGAGCCTGACTTGCTACCGAGACTGCGGCTTCCGAGACCGTCGCACGAATGCCAGGCGCGAGCGAGCATCTTCGAAGTCCTCGGCGTCAGAGCACGGATCTGGCTGCGACCTGGAGGTGGTGCTGCGTGTGCCGCTGCACCTGGCACTCGTAGCCGCCGTTGGCGACTCTGCCGTCTCCATCACGTTGCCCTCTGCAGACGCACTGGGCAGGCTGCGGGGCAGTGGCAAGCCCAGATGCGGCCTCTTCAGCGCCCTGCAGCACGCCTCGCAGAGCGGCGATCCAGAGGCCTGGACGCTGGAGTGCCAATCCCCGAGGGCCACGCTCCAGCTCCTCGACCGCCTCCAGCTGGCCGGCTGCATCCTCCAGGACCTGCAGCGGAGGTATGCGTTGCTCGACGAGATCGGCGAGGGCGCCTTCGGAAGGGTCTTCAGGGCGGAGGATCTGCGCACTGGGTCGCCTGTGGCCATCAAGGTGTGCACCGCTCGGAGCATGAATGTTGTGATGCACCCCATTCTTGAGGCTAGCATCCTCAGATCATGTTGTCACGCCAACATTCAAGCTTTCCACGGTCTCTACAGGGTGAGCGGGTCGGAGCTCGACATCGATTCGTCTTTCACGTACGCGATAGTCTCCGAGTATGTCGAAGGCGGAGAGCTTCTCAAGCTCGCTCAGCGCGGCACGGCGATGACGGAGGATTTTGCGCGCCGCTTGACGAAGCAGCTGCTGTCTGCCGTCAGCCACTTGCAGGAGAAATCCATGGTCCACAGGGACATCAAGCCTGAGAACATCCTCCTCTCCGGTGCGGGCGACCAGCTGAAGCTCGTCGACTTCGGGCTGTCCGCGCTGGAAGATGACTCTGAAGCGATGCGCTTGAAATCTGGATCGCCAGGATATGTGGCCCCGGAGGTCGTCACAGGGGTCCAGACATGCAAGGCCGACTGCTTCAGCGTTGGCGCCATCCTCTTCATCCTGCTCACTGGCAAGCCACCCTTCGCAGGCAAGGACCAGCGCGAGGTGCTGATGAAGAACGTGCGCGGAAAGGTGGACATGGACGCGCTCTGGAACGTCTCGCAGGGCGCCCGCGATGTCGTTGCAAGCCTCATGTGCAGGGATCCTCAGAGCCGAGCCTCGGCGGCAGAGGCGCTGCGGCTCCCATGGTTCACGCAGCCTCCCCAGGCGGCCCAGCTCGCCGTGCCCAGTGCCGCCCCCGCCGGGCCCAGGGCGCGCCGCCACCCCGGCGCAAGCCCGCGCTCCCGAGCACCGCGCCTGCCCTCGTGGCCGCGCGGCGTGGCGCCGAGGCGCTGCGCGACGCCGCCCTCGGAGCTGCTGGCGCCCGCTGCGGAGCCGGGCCTGGGCGCCGGGCCTGGGCAGGGCGCGGCACCGGCGAGCGGCCGCGGCCAGGGCCTGCCCACCGCCGAGGCTCGCCACGGAGGGGAGGGGTCCCGAGGGAGACGGTTTCCGAGGTACTTAAGGCCGTCTCTGGCTTCCCGGGGCCCGGGCCCTTGGGCTGCCACTGTCGTGGGTGCGTGGAGCGAGGGTCATCCCAAGGTGGAATTCGGGGGCGAGACCGGCCAGATGCTCACCTGTTCTTCTTCTTCTTCTTGTTCTTCTTCTTTTTCTTCTTCTTCTTCTTCTTATTCTTCTTCTTCTTCTTCTTCTTCCAATGGCCGCTCAGAGTGAGTTGTCTTGAGCCCCACCTCTGCTGTCACCCCACCTTTATATTTACGCCCCCTCGACACACAGCAGCTCAGGACGAACAGCTGGTCCGGGGGGGCAGGGCCCCAGGGTCCAGGACTCATTTCGGCGGCGAGCGAGACGGGGAAGTGAGAAGGAGAAGGCCTTCTCAGAAGGCGGCGGGACTTTCAGAAGCCCGCGCGCCTTCCGGGAAGCTCTCTGTGTCTCCGTGAAGGCTCAGACAATTTCTCAGAAGGCCGGGGGACTTCCGAGCCTTCTGAAGAGGCCCGCGCCTTCTTTTCCTCCGCCTTCTCCTCCTCCTCCTCCTCCTCCTCCTCCTCCTCCTCCTCCTCCTCCTCGGGCGCGCCGCCCATCGTTTCCCTCGGGACCTGGCGGTTACCCTTTCCCGCCGAGGCCGCTGCGGCTGCTGGCGCGAGCGTGCGGGGGTGCCGCTCCCCGAGCGGGCCGGCGGAACCTGGGCCCCAGGGCCCAGGGCACTCGGCGGCGGCCCTCCCCGCGGACGAGGGCTTCGATCGTGCGGTGGACTCGCACGGGGTAAGTCGGGCACGTCCCTCTACAGGAGGAGTATACGAAAATATTAAAAAACAGTCACGGGACGATTTTTCTAGCATTTTTTGTACATTTGAACATTGTTTTAAACTGTTCTTAATTTTTCCTTTAAATCCGCCTGTAAGGGGACATGCCCGACCTAAGGTGGCTTCTGCAGTCGCGGCCGTGCCTATCCGGCAGTTGGACGACAAGGGCTTTGCTCTGCAGATGACCAGCGCCAAGCTAGCCGGCTGGTGCCCCGAGCAGGCAGAGTCGGAGCGGCCCTCCTTCAAGGATCGACCAAGCTTCTCGGAGCGGGCAACCGAACCGATATTCAATGCCCGCGCCGGCTTCATCAGGAAGGTGATGATGCCACAGCGGACGCAGCTGGAGAAATCGGCCTCTCTCAATGACCCAGCGCAGGCGGGATTCCGAGCAGGCGGGACACAGATCAAGTTGCCAAGCGGGCCGCCCCCCGGAGGGTGCAGGAGGCCCTGCGGCCTGCGCCAGAACGGGAGCCCCCGTGCCCCCTGCAGGGACATTGGCTCGCCTGCGGCATACGGCCATAAGTCACTGGTCATGCCACACTCCAGGCACAGCACTTCCGTGCCCCCCTGCTTCTTGAGTGAGCAGGCGTTCGGGGGTTAGAGGATAGCGTACAGCTGCGTGGGGCAAGGGAGCGTGAGCTGCCCAATTCGGCGAGCCGCAAGAGAGCGCTGCGCACATGCTTAATGCTTGCGAGCGCGGACCCCAATCAGTGGGTGATTGCATTCTTGATGTGCAATCTCTGTGGTGCAATCTGTGCATGTGGCGCAAGCCATGTAGTGCAAGTGCAAGCCATGGTGTGCAACCTTTGTGCTGGCATATACGTGGCCGATCTCTTTGGTGCAATCTAAGGGGTGAAGTCCACTCTGCTGAACTTGAAGTCGTCATCTCCACTGCACGCGCAAACATCCCACCCACCCACCCGCAACTTGTTTTGCAAAACCTGTTAAGACCGACTACGACGACACCGACGACAACGACTAGGACGACACCGACGACGTCTCCGACGACTTCGACGACGACAACGACGCCGACGACGACGACGACGACGACGACGACGACGCCAACGAAGGCGACGACGAGGGAGGAGGAAGGACGACGACGGCGACAACGACGACAACGACGACAACGACGAGGGAGGAGGGAGGACGGCGACGACGCGAACGACGAAGAAGGAGGAAGTACGGCGACGCCGACGACGACAACGACAAGGGAGGAGGGAAGACGACGACGACAACGACGACGACGACGGCGACGAAATAGGAGGGACGACGACGAGACGCCGACGACGGACGACGACGACGACGACGAGGGAGGAGGAGGAGGAGGAAGGACGACCACGGCGACAACAACGACGGATGCGACCACGACGCCAAAGAGGACGACGACGACGAACACGAGGAAAGACAGGACGACGTAGGCGACGACGACGACGACGCGGGAGGAGGGAGGACGGCGACGATGATGATGACGACGACGACGCAAGAGCGCGCGTGCGCACGCTTTTGTTGAAAATCGGTGTTGCGAAACCTTGGGTTTTTGTAGGTTCTTTGGACACACGATACACGCGCAAGTTCGTTCGACAGATTTCGACATGCGCGCGCGCGACGCCTGTTTGGTAGCATTTTGTGAAAATCTTGAAAAACCTATGGTTTTCTTAAGATTTCGCAAAAGCTCGCGCGGAAGCTTTTTCAGCACATCAGTGTTGCGAAACATTGTGTTTTTGTATGGTTGTTGGAAACTCGATCGCGAAATCCTTCCGGCGCCGAAGGTTTTTGAAGGATTTCGGCATGCGCGCGCGACGACGCGCGCGTGTGCACTTCGTCCCATTTTTTTTTGCAAGGGATTCGTGAAAAAGTGCGACGTTAGAACAACAAATGTCACCGCAAAGTGTTTTTTACAAGGGAACCTCAGGGGGGGAACCCGGCTTGGCTGGGATGGTACGATTTCATATTTAGGATGGACGAGTGTGCAGAATATATATATATATATATGAAATCATATTATCCCAGGGGGAACCGATAAGTCCGGGGGGGGGAGGGGGGGAGAATCTATTAATCTTTTAGAAAGGAGAATCGTCATCTCCACTGCTCGCGCAAACATCCCACCCACCCACCCGCAACTTGCTTTGCAAAACCTCTTGAGACCGACTACGACGAAGACGACGACAACGACTACGACGACACCGACGACGTCTCCGACGACTTCGACGACGACAACGACGCCGACGCCGACGACGACGAAGACGACGACGACGCCAACGAAGGCGACGACGAGGGAGGAGGAAGGACGACGACGGCGACAACGACGACAACGACCACAACGACGAGGGAGGAGGGAGGACGGCGACGACGCGAACGACGAAGAAGGAGGAAGGACGGCGACGCCGACGACGACAACGACGAAGGAGGAGGGAAGACGACCACGACAACGACGATGACGACGGCGACGAAATAGGAGGGACGACGACGAGACGCCGACGACGGACGACGACGACGACGAGGGAGGAGGAGGAAGGACGACCACGGCAACAACGACGACGGAAACGACCACGACGCCAAAGAGCACGACGACGACAAACACGAGGAGAGACAGAGGACGACGTAGGCGACGACGACGACGACGCGGGAGGAGGGAGGACGGCGACGACGACGACGACGACGCAAGAGCGCGCGCGCGCGCGCGCTTTTGTTGAAAATCGGTGTTGCGAAACCTTGGGTTTTGTATGTTTTTGGACACGATTTTGAAATCCTTTCGAAACCGATGGGTTTTGAAGGTTTTCGGCATACGCGCGCGACGACGCGCGCCTCTGCACTTCGTTTCATTTTTTGTTGAGGATTCTCGCGACGGCACACGCGCAAGGGCGTTCGACAGATTTCGACATGCGCGCGCGCGAAGCCCGTTTGGTAGCATTTTGTGAAAATCTTGGAAAAACCAATGGTTTTCTTAAGATTTCGCAAGAGCTCGCGCGTAAGCTTTTTTAGCAAATCAGTGTTGCGAAACCTTGTGTTTTTGTTACCTCACAGCGAAGACTTATAGGTTTCTAGTGGTGTCAAAAGAGAGCATCTTGACGCCCCAGGGGGGTCTGGGCGGGATCCGGACGGGTGCCGGGGATCTTTTTTAGCTAACAGAAGCGCACTTCGTGGTCTTCGAGTCCCCAGAACTCCATTCCTGGGCATGATTTTGAATGCCCGGAGCTAACTGTAGGCCACTTCGTGTTCTTCGAGTTCCCAGATCTCCATTCCTGGGCATTATTTTGAATGCCCAGAGCCAACTGTAGGCCACTTCGTGGTCTTCGAGTTCCCAGAACTCTATTCCTGGGCATAATTATGAATGCCCGGAGCCAACTGTAGGCCACTTCGTGGTCTTCGAGTTCCCAGAACTCCATTCCTGGGCATAATTATGAATGCCCGAAGCCAACTGTAGGCCACTTCGTGTTTTTCGAGTTCCCAGAACTCCATTCCCGGGCCACATTTTGAATGCTGAGGCAGGCTGATGCTGAGGCTGAGGCAGGCTGAGGCCGAGGCAGGCTGAGGCTGAGGCCGAGGCTGAATGCAGACTGAGGCTGAGGCTGAAGCAGTCTGAGGCTGAGGCAGAGGCAGGCTGAGGCTGAGGCCGACGGCAGACTGAGGCTGAGGCAGGCTGAGGCTGAGGCAGCCTGAGGCTGAGGCCGAGGCTGAAGGCAGACTGAGGCTGAGGCTGAAGCAGGCTGAGGCTGAGGCTGAGGCTGAGGCTGAGGCTGAGGCTGAGGCTGATGCAGGCTGAGGCTGAGGCAGGCTGAGGCTGAGGCCGAGGCTGAAGGCTGAAGGCTGCTGAGGCTGAGGCTGAGGCAGGCTGAGGCTGAGGCTGAGGCTGAGGCTGAGGCTGAGGCTGAGGCTGAGGCTGAGGCAGGCTGATGCTGAGGCAGGCTGAGGCTGAGGCTGAGGCTGATGCAGGCTGAGGCTGAGGCAGGCTGAGGCTGAGGCCGAGGCTGAAGGCAGACTGAGGCTGAGGCTGAAGCAGGCTGAGGCTGAGGCTGAGGCAGGCTGAGGCTGAGGCAGGCTGAGGCTGAGGCTGAGGCAGGCTGAGGCTGAGGCTGAGGCTGAGGCAGGCTGAGGCTGAGGCTGGCAGGCTGAGGCTGCTGAGGCTGATGAGCAGGCTGAGGCTGAGGCTGAGGCAGGCTGAGGCTGCAGGCTGAGGCTGAGGCTGAGGCTGAGGCCGAGGCTGCAGGCAGACTGAGGCTGAGGCTGAAGCAGGGCTGAGGCTGAGGCAGGCTGGCTGAGGCTGATGCAGGCTGATGCTGAGGCAGGCTGAGGCTGAGGCTGAGGCTGAGGCTGAGGCTGAAGCAGGCTGAGGCTGAGGCAGAGGCTGAGGCTGAGGCTGAGGCAGGCTGATGCTGAGGCAGGCTGCTGAGGAGGCTGAGGCTGAGAGGCAGGCTGAGGCTGAGGCTGAGGCAGGCTGGCTGAGGCAGGCTGAGGCTGAGGCTGAGGCAGGCTGAGGCTGAGGCTGTGACTGCGACTGCCGTTGCCACTGCGACTGTCATCGCGAATGCGACTACGACTGCGAGAACAGCAGAATCTGAATCTTAAGGGGAATGCTTCCAGATATGCTCCTACACATCGCTGTTAGGTTGCTTTGCCGGGATAATATGTTCTTTGGGAACTCGATTGCGAAGGCTTTTGAAGGATTTCGGCACCGAAGGTTTTTGAAGGATTTCGGCATGCGCGCGCGACGACGCGCGCGTGTGCATTTCGTCTTGTTTTTTGCAAGGGATTCGTGACAAAGTGTCATGTTAGAACAAACAATGTCACCGCATAGTGTTTTTTACAAGGGAACCTCAGGGGGGGGGAACCCGGCCCCCCAGGGATAGTGTAAATTCATATTTAGGATGGACATGTGGCCAGAATCATGTATGATTTACATACCCGAAAGGGGGAGTGATAACGCCGGGGGGGGGGTAGATCCTATTCTCTTTTTAGAAAGGATAATTGATTTTTACTCATGATTTGACACATCTCGCGCTCTTGCAAACATCCCACCCACCCACCCGCAACTTGGTATGCAAAACCTCTTAAGACCGTGACGGTAGGTACCAAATGGCACTTGGCAGCGACACCGGCGCCGACGACGACAGCGACGTCGACGACGACGACGACGCCGACGACGACTACGACGATACGGACGACGTCTCCGACGATTTCGACGACGACAACAACGACGACGACACCGACGACGACGACGGCGCCGACGCCGACGACGGCGACGACGACGCCGACGACGACGACGCCGACGACGACGACGTCGACGACGCCGGCGACGGCGACGACGACGACGACGGCAGCGACGGTGACGACGCCGACGTCGACGACGACGAAGACGACGACGCCGACGCCGACGACGACGACGAAGACGACGACGTCGCCAACGAAGACGACGACGACGAGGGAGGAGGGAGGGCGACGACGGCGACAACGACGTAAACGACGAGGGAGGAGAGAGGATGGCGACGACGCGAACGACGAAGAAGGAGGGAGGACGGCGACGCCGACGACGACAACGACGAGGGAGGAGGGAAGACGACGACGACGACGACGACGGCGACGAAATAGGAGGGACGACGACGA